CCTGAACTGGACCAATATTTTCCCAATATTGAATTATTTCATTCATCATTTAGTAGCACATACTTGAATTCATTACCCAGTCATGGTGGAGACATTCCAATGAACATAATGCACTAGTATCACCCCTGCCCATGCCCATTACAGTGTCCGTACAATAGATAGATAGGAAATATAAAACATTTCGGGAGTTGATCTTTCCCAGAATGTACTCAAACTTTATTATATTTCTGAATGTTTGTGTGTCTGTCTGTCTGTCCTTTATGCACCGCCACACCTCTGCCCAGGTAACACACTGACGTTGTGACAACGTTGTATACAAGCAATAATGTTGCGTGGATGTAGTATGCTGTCACCCTGATGTTTTGATAATGTCCTTACAATATCTCCGCCACAACATTAGAAAAATAACTAAATGTCACAAGAAAAAAGTTGATAAATTCACAAGAAATAATTGTGACGAAGCTGTAACATTTTAGGGGCCCCTGAATATTTTTTAATTAAGACCGCATAATAAATGTTGTGGCTGCATTGTAAAAAACGTTGCTTCAATATTTGAATGTCCTTTTATACTATGCTGTCGCAACATTTTCCTATAACGTTGTGACAACGAATTCTTCCTGACGTTAACGTTTTGACAATGTTTACCAAGTAATGCCCTCACCATCTAAAAGGTTCATCCAAATCCCTGCCAGATGGCATTTCAGTGCCGCTATAGCGATATATCCCTTTCATGTACCGGAAATGAGTTCCCGATATTTTGATTTCGGTACCTGATCTTTCCCCGTGTAAAAATCAGGGAAAAGTTGTGGAATTCCTGGATAGACCCGTTTCAGTGAGTTACACGGCGGAAGGAGGCCCCAGGTACTTCTTGCATACGGGTCGAAAGGAACATGGCAAATTTTCCTAATTCACTCCATGGCGATAAATGTCTTCTACGTACTGATTTATCTAGAGGAGGTAACAGAACAAGAGGATACTAGAGGATTGCCTCTTGATTTCTTCTGCGAAAGAAGGGATTATTTGTGAGGCACTTAATCCTATTAGCGTCGCTTCGAGTAAGTACTCGTCATGCGGCCGCACAATTGCCAGCATTAGCACGGCAGGCAGCTGCAAGTATTAATGGAAGGGTGTGTGAGAGTATTCTTAAATACAAGCCACACTGCCACAATAATCCCTTCTCACTTATTGTCGTCACAATGTTGCTTACGCCAGAAGGGATAAGTTGTCACAACATTGAGGAAAATGTTGTGACGACATGGGAAAAAAGGACATTTAGATGTTGTAATAGTGTTTTCGGTTATATTGGCACAACATTCCATATGTTGTGGTACAACATTTCCACAATGTTGTCATTATGTATGCGTATTACCTGGGTGATGCCTTTCCGACCAAACTTTGTATGGCTTCCTCATTTACAAGCGGGTCAGGCCTGCGGTCTTGCAATTCCCTCCCACCAATCATAGAACGGCTTCACCGTTCCAACATGGCGGCTGCCAGGCGTGTCAGCATGCGTTACGTGCTCGCTGGCTGCGCTGACTCGTAAACTTGTACGAATAGGTGTATGAAATATTGCATGACCCAACAAGATCAACGCGGTCATGAAGAATGCCAAGGGAATTTTGTTGTGGGTTAACTTTCTGGCATGCAAATTTCACCGGAGGTGCTCATAAAAATTCAAACTAGGACGTCTGGTCACCCTAATCAATATTGAAAAATAAAAAAGGGCTTAGCCTTTGGCCAAACTTTGCGTGAGTTCGTGCAATATACTCGCGTACGAAACTTAGTTTTACTAAGCCTAGGACTTCAAATCAGACGCTGTCCGCCACCAAAAATTTGAACAGCCGCCACCACCAGAGACATGGTAAATATAACTAGACTGGATAGGCCAATGGAGAACGCGCCGCAGCCTCACGCCGATTAGAAGGAGCGCCCGCCATGGCTCTGGCCGTTTAGTCGCGCAATAAACGCATAGCTTTCGGATTCATGACGTCACACTGTGAGTTTAGACGCTCACCATTGCAGTGGAGTCTTCATTCAAACTTGCATTGAAAAAAATAGTGCAATACTTTGTCAGAAGAGAATCCGAATCCCATTGTTGTAATAATAGATAACAGATAATAAAACGATTTAGATGTTAAGGCAGTGGCTGCACACTGAAGACTGGAGTCGACCTAGGCCTACTCGGTCTTCACTGACGAAGTATGGTGTCTTGAAAATCGATCAATGCTACCTTTTCCATCTTTGAGGAGTAGAAACCCAGTCTTTATTTTCATTGCACTTACCAATGCGAATGTGCAATATTGTTTCCCATGCAGTTGGGCCCAGGGTCTACATGACGTGAGATCTTCGACTGTCCTGTCAAGTCTAGCTATATATACCATGTCTCTGGCCACCATGTTGGATCGGTGAAGCCCTTCTATGATTGGTGGGAGGGAATTACAAAACCGCAGGCCGGACCCGCTTGTCCTCATTTGGTCCGGGGATGGTCGTAGGCTAGGTGGCGTCTCAAAATTCGGACCCCCCAGGACAGGGCCGGGCCTAGATCAAATAGCGCCCCAGGCGAGGAGCATCTCACATTTTGCCTTCATAAACTATGACAGTAGTCCGAAAAGACGGTCGCCGCTAGACCAGGATTCACTCCACTCTTATTTTTCCGTCATACTACAGGGTGAGTCAAAGTATGGTCTACCTTCTGGACATCGATAACTTTTGAATGCCAGACCGGATTGAGATCCAATTTAGACCGTCTGGAAGGCAAGAATATCCTCTATCTAGAGATAGGTTTTCGCATTATTTTGTGAAAGGTTTGTTTTCTTTCCTGAGTCGTAAATTAAATTCCCCTTTGGGGGGTTCTCTTAATGTATTCAAGCCTCGAAATGTGTTTGCATACTGGCATTCATTGGATTCCAATTCAAGTAATTGTGCGGAAAATGACGAAGGGAGAACAGGCTATCCGTAAGCGTGTAGCAGATGTTCAGCTTTGTTGTGTATTTGCAACGGGAACCTCAAGAAAAAATTCGACAAGCCGCATCGATTCGAATATTGAAAAGATTGGAACAATTGCAGAACTGATTCTCTTTGGAGATTCACGAACTGGTCGCTCTGAAGTGAACATCGAATTGGTTAACAGGAATGTTTATGAATCTCACTGAATGTGGACGCAGCTCGTGACAGCGGAAAGCACACAGTCTCCGAATGGTTGCGAGAAATCGTCTGGGTACCACACGAATCCGTGTGAAAGTTGGAAGATGCATGTCTCATCAGGAAGGCTCAGACTCGTTAGTCCCAGTGTTGCTTAACCGTGAAAAGCAGCGCCATATCGACGGTACCTTACTTCACGCGATCATCGAATACCCTATTGGGGGCGGGAAAAAAAAAAGAATTTTCTTTTGCTTCCAAACCCAAGTCAATGGAATCACCGATAAACTTCAGAGGAAAATCGATGCCCTGACGCACATGAAGAACGCTTGGGAGTCTAGACATTGACGGGAACGGAAAATCACGCCACCGTAGGAATTTATAACGTTTCTGTTTCTATCGTGTGCGTGCCCGGCCTTAGGGTAAGAGACATGCACATTTATCAGCATGTTAAGATTGGGTGCATTTTCCGTTCCTGTTCATGTCATGTTCATCTCCTGTTCACCTCGAAGTTATCAGAGTAAAAAAAAAAGTACCTTTCATGAAAAAAAACCAATACAAAATGCCATTAAAGTGTTAAGGCAAGGACTGTCAAAAGTTATCTAAAATCAGCAGAAAATGCAAATTTAAATAAATGTACTTGTCGAAGCTACTCCTTTTGTTTTAAAGAAAGACACATTTGTGAGATATTCGCAGTTTTCTCTTGTTTAGCAGCTTTCTAACAAACTCTAACAAAGCTCTCTAACAAACGGTAGTGCTTAGCATTCCCATACACAACGAATTCTGCCAATATGAAGAGAATGGGGATATTCTAATATCTGAAGCAGCTCCCAACTAATGGTTGAAAAGTTCATTAGAAAAATATTCCAAGAATGTTCATAAGAAATTTCATGTAATCCAGATGAAGTTTTCCTCGAGTGGCAACTTGAATGTGAGACTTTTGTTTTTCTGTCTCTTTATGATCCCAGCCTCCCTTATGGGATTCTCATTCGAGATAGGTGAGGAGAAAACCCACGGAACAAAACCCGAGCTCTCGTTTCAAACGCACAACCCATCTACCGACGAGAGACGACTAAGACCTTAAAGTCTTTGGTTCTCCTTAGTGTATCTTGTTTCCTGCATATCCCGCTAAGAGATGAACTGCCACGGTCATTCTGGGTCGTTGTTCTTCGAAGATCGGGGTTCGATGATACTTCTTCACCCCAGACACACGGCTCGCAGAATATCGCCATCATTTCCTCTCCCAGCTCATATTACTCAATAGACGACAGGGAAGAAGTTGGAAAAATAAAGATAGAAAATGAGAAATGAGGACCACTCTCTTCCGATGATGAAGGGGGAAAATTTGCATGATGTGGAGGAGTGACCTTCGGGATTGGACAGAATGAAAAGAAAAGAGGCATTGTTGAAGGGAAACGAGGGAAAGAGAGGGGATGACGGGCAAAGAAAAGAGATTGTGGCCGGTAATGAGAGAAGAGAAAGAAGTGTGTACAGGTGAGCAAGTTCCCAGGATCGGACAGGAGATTCATGCCACCTGCCAATCCAACTCCTCTCCCCGTCTCTCTTCCTTTCATCAACTCCTTCGACCTCGACGTTCTCGTGCGGACCGGGAAGTCAACACTACGGCCTCCACTCGACCTCGACTCCGAGTCGACGTCGACCCGATGGGACTCCGACTCGATTAGATGTTGCTTCCACTCGACATGGATCCGGCATTGGCTCGACTGATGTCGTTCGGAGCCAACATCGATATCATCGTTGGTGCGAGTCATCATCGAAATGACTCGAGAGTAAATCAATTCAATACACAATATGAAACATCCTTCTTCAGAGTAAGACAAACCTAGATCATGGCATATCGACGCACAACCAAAACAAGAATGAAAGAGAGGGAGAGAACATTTCAAACTCATGACTAGCTGGGACTGCACATAAAAGCAACAACAAGCTGCAGAATCACCTGAGCTTAAGCCAAAAATGCGTCCAGAATAAAATAGAAAAGGAAAATATCCAGAGGTGACATTAAAAGAAGGGATGGATCACATAGGATGAAAACTTGACGACCTCTCGGATGCTTCACATGTGAGGCCGATCTTTGGCAACGAAATCGACTTTACTGAGGATGAAATGTTTCATGCACACGAGAGGGAGATCCTTTCCCTGCGTATTGCTCCTCTGGAAGAATCTCGCGATTGCTTTCGATGGTCGAATGAACCTTAAATGCCATCTATCGGAATGACGAGGGATGGGAGCTGGAAGCCTTTGGGGGGACATGCAATCGGAAAAATCCTTAAAAAAATTTTCCTTTCTCATCACAGTCGACCAAGCGAGTTCCGCATACGCGAGTGAAGGTGAGTATGAGAGTGGGTCCTCTCGATCACAACGGCATCGTCACACGTGGGTGGCAAGGGTGCCAGGCTTCAGATGACTGCTGGATGCAGTGATGTACTGTCCGGTGACCCCGTTTGGCACTCCCACCGACCCGTTTCGAACGTAAACGGGTGACCCCAGGTGAGGCGGGGGTAAGGACGTCGACGAGGAAGTCCTCAAGTAAGGGTTTCCGTACGTGGCCGAATATCGCGGGTCCACGTTGTTCAGTCCGTTGCTGGGCAACACCGGAAACACTGCAGTGCTGCTGGGGTTGTAGTCTCGAGCGTAGTCGACGTATGGCACGTAACCGACACACCCACCGTTCTCCCTTTGTCCCCCACCACCGGTGTCCTGTGCACCAAAAGCGGATGGGAGAGCATCAATACCTCCATCCCGTGCGAGAGAAATGGATTCAACCATCAGCAATTCTCTTCTCAATCCCAATTATTATCGTCTAATCCCTTCCATCCAATTGCTCACATTTTCTCTGCCATCGATCTCAAGTTGAGGAAACAAAGTTAAACATTTTTCTTCATCGGTAACTTAAGCACTTTTCCAATTATTGATGTAATTAAGTCAATTTCTTTCTTCCACTTTTAAAACATGATTTACGGATGTAAGCTCCTCAGAGAAACGAAGCCAGACTGATTCCTACATTTCAACTGATTTGTTTCTAATTCCCAACCGAAACATCTTCTTAACTCTATTCAAAAACCAGGCGGAAAACAAGTTTCTAGGGGCTTCAATTGCAATGAATGGGAAGGTAATGACATGGTAATGAACTGGGAAGGTAATAATGAATCTCCAAACCCTCTCAAAAACTAATCCGCATACTCATCCATAATTTCATGCGAAAAAGTAGTAAAAAGTATTTTTCCTCCTCAAACAAAAAAGTGCTTCAAATTACGAGTACATAAATGGAGAAGGATTTGAGAATGACCGGTTTGGGTGGGAAGGTGGGCTCAATGTAGTCGGCGGAGTATCGGTAGTTGGAGTGAGAAGGCGTTCCCCCCCGTTCCCAGTCCTCTTCCCGATGACTCAGGCTGGAGCCCGAAGCAGTCTGGATCTCCAGCTTCATGTCGGAGTCGTCGGAACCCGTTCCCCCGTTCCCGAGTTCATTCGAGCTCCTCAGCGTCGTCACTGTGATCGGCTTGGAACTGGTCTTCTCGCTGCTGCTCCCGTAGTCTGCACAAACGATCGTTGTCACAACGATGGACACCACGTGCATCATCATAGCTCGTCAGAGTTTATCACTGGCGTCTCGATCTCTTTTTGGATAAATGGGAGAGAAATACCTGGACTTCTAGCACGGGGATGTACCAAAATATCACCTGTGTCCTTTGGCCAATAATGGGCGAAAGAACCCAAGAGTCGTAATCTGAATAAGAACGTCCCTGTCAGCAGTTCATATATGGAATAGTACGAACCAGTCCTTGCCAATAATTACTTTTGGATCTCCAGTACCGAGATCCCTGCACTGCCAGTACTCGAGAAAAAACCTGACTCCGTGATCCATATTTCCAAGAGATAGCGTTAAACTTTAATGCTCGAGAGTGCACTTTCATTTGCGTTTCAAATAATTATATTAATACAGACGCATTAGTATTAAATTTGATACATACAAACATGTTCATTCTCATTCTTGCATCTTGCATAGTAGAGATAAGATACTTCACCCCTTGAAACGGTAAAGAGATGTTGGACGGGTAGAGACTTACCCTCGGGAGACTTGCTTCTTCTCTGACAGAGGAAGAAGATCATAACTATCGCGATGAGCATGATGATCCCACCTATCACTCCAGCCAGGATGATTAACAGGGGCACGCTTCCTGTTGAGCAAGATAAAAGTAATAATCTATTTTGGGTCCTCTTAAAAAACCGGACAGTATGCCCATGAAAATGGGGTTGAATGTTTTTAAATGTCTTGTTGAAAAATATGAGAAAGCAAAAAAGGGGGGGAGATGGTGACGCCACGCTGGGATGGGTTACTCTCTGCTGCAGTATGAAAGCTTTTAATTTAGAAATGGATCACTTTTCATGATGCCAAAGTTTCAGTGTCGAGGGTATTCCATTATACAGCCCTGGAGACATATTGACTTCGTCTATAGCCAAAGTGAGTTCTTACGTTTCCTGGAATCGGATTACACCCAGTGAGAAATTGAGTTTTGCGGACGTGCTGCATGCTCCTTATGTGACTTTTGTATAATCTATTCTTAGTTCCCTATGTACGCCAAAACGCCAGCACGATTTCCATTCATACCCTAATTCCAGATTCATGGTATTGCAAAAAGGGGTGGGAAAGACGAGGAGAAGAAAGGGCTCGACGAAGCGTGGTCTTTCCTTCTTTATGATTATGACACATACGAGGTGAATAATCCATAAGAGGAGTAATTAGGAGAATGAGATGATGAATGGGAGATCAATGAAAGAAGGGAGGAGAAACGCACTCTGCTTCTGAAGAGTGATGGTGGCGACGGCCGTTCCGTACGCGTTCCGAACGGAGCAGTTGTAGGTGCCGAAGTCTGTAGCCCGGGCGTCGTTGATAATCAAGCGACTGATCAAGCCGTCCTCTGTCCGGGTTTCCTTTATCACGTACTGACCTTCCCCTAAAAATAAAGGGATATCAAATCATCACCGAACCCTAAAGAGACATCTCGTCACGAAAGGGATCCCGCAAAATTTGAGAATCAATTTTCGACCCTTCCAGGTATTCCAGCCCCTTTGAGGATGATTTTTCCGATCGTAACTAAGCGCTTTATCTTCGGTATTCACTTCCTACATAAACGACACGTGACCGAATTCTGTTTGCTTTCTTGAAATCGAGGCGACAATCCTGATTTATTCACTCAGTTTCTTCGCGAACTTCCCAAGTTTACAAGACCTATGAGTGCCCTGAATGACCCTCCCTCGAGCACTTGGAATGACCCCCTCCTCTGGGCGCAATCGTGGGAAGGGTATCCTGAAGGACGTAAGAGGAAGAGAAGGAGGTGAAAAATAGGCCCTGGATATTCCCCCCCTCGTAGCAATCGTCTGGATCCGATTGCGGTCATTTACCATCGTGTCAAACTCCTCTTTACTCCACTCTCCCTTATGTAAACCACCAGACAACCAGAGAATATATCCGCCCATCAAGAGGGCCATTGGTAATGGTAGAGGAATAAATATATATTTTAAAATGTTTAATTTCAAGTGTTAATTAGCTTGATCCAAAGCCATGGGGTGAGGGGATGGGGGGGGGGGGCAGTAAGGAAAGGAAGTCCTCTAGCTGAGCCTTCAATTCAAACAGAAAAGGAAGAGAAGGGGCAAAGCGCTGAACACTTTCTTAGATGTTCATTTCCGTACTGCTGCTTAGTAGCAAATGAGATCTGCAGATATCGACCTGAGTAGCAGAGCTGTCCGAGACCGTTCAATCTTTCTCAACTTAAATTATTGATGAATAAAGGAGACTGATTATCAGGTAAGGTAGGAAATTCAAGTCCCAATAATAGCCTCGAAATTGAAATGAGTGCGGTAATTCGGTGAGCAGTGATTCAGAAACGATGACTCCAATTACCGTGACATTCCGTATTGGGGGCATAGAGACACATCGACACCTAATGGCAACGCTTCTTCGCCACATGCTTGTGGGGAATGTTCTTTATTGATGCTGTGACTGAATTTTGGCTCCGATGCATTCTGTACTTGGGTGGCTGCAGAAAATTCCTGCCCATTTTCCCGGCCCGCGTAAATCGCATAAATTACAGGCCTAAAGATATTAAATACCCTTTCTCGTATTCATTACAAGATGAGACGAAACCAAGGACGGATTTTATTTTTCCCCAGAATTTTCAAGGACAGCAACCGCCAAGAAACCCCGAACACCGCCCATTCGATGGACCAGAGAAGTGGTACCCTTCTACCCGTTCTGGACAAACCGGCCCGATGATCCTCAAGGATGCCAAGTGACATGATGCCAAGAAGGAAAATTCCTTGCGTCCCACTTCTTCCAGTCGTGCACGCGAAAGGCTCGATCGGCTCCCGGCCAAGGGTATCCCTTTCCGGAACGAGAACGAAGAGGTGGTCCAAGTAGTGGTGGCTTCGAATCCTTTAATCGAATACCAGACGGACGTGGCGGCGTTAGAGCAGCCATCTTATTCCGTATCACGCATAACCGAATTAGGCCAACACGAAGAAATGCGTGGCCGACAAGACGACCTAGGTGATGAACGATGCGTGTCGTCTCTTTGAAGAACTCGAATGGGAGTCGGGTCGAACCAGTGGATGATATCCAGCTAAGGCACGAAGGCTGAAAGCAAACGTCTTCGGTAGTGTCTCACCCAAGTCTCACACCAGTCTCACTCATGGGCGTCAGCTTCTCATAATTTCTCCATAATGAAAAGATGTTCATTCCCGCTCGAGTGACGAAGATGGAGAAGGCTCCCACGATTAAAAAAAATCTGTCCCCTTCACCGTTATCTTCGGCCTATACCCGTAGCTTTCTACTCGCATTGCGCCCACCGAGATTAAATGGGCGACCGACTTCGCTGCTGCAGCTCTAAGTCCATAAAATGTACTTGAAAAGAGTTCCGGAGAACTCTTAAGAGATTATTCGCTTATTTCCGCAAAGTGTACTTCTTTCCTAAATGGGGAAGCGATGCGATTTGGGGTAGGACGGATTTTCATTGAAAATATTCGAGGAATCCCAAAATTGGAATTGAAACATAATGTAATTGATTCCAAAAGTGTAACTACATGGTTTCACATCAATTTCTTCCTACATATCTTAACTTTGGTCTAATAGTAAAGTTGCGGATCGGTGATCTCAACGATGTAACTTGCATGGGTCACTGAGTGGGATTCCGTAAGTATTCTGCTACGAAACCACTGTGGAACTGGTACTGTGGAACACTGATCATCATATTGGTACTGAGAAATCCTTGTGGGCGTTGTCGCACGGAACGGAAATAGGCGCGATGGGAGTTGGCACCCACAGAACCAAACCGATTTCATTCTTAGCGCTTTCTCACAAATTTCAGTTCCCGTACAGAAAATACTATTTCTAGCTAATCGACAGAGACCCGTGACCCGATATTGAGACGATGAGACGTTTCATGTCCTTTTTAGGATATCGCTTGTGATATTTTAAAATATTTTCTCACCTTCACTTCTGCCTAGTAGTTCTACAACTAGTGGGTTCGACTAACAAGACACGCGTTTTAAACCCTACGATAACATAAAAAGTTTATATTACTGTATGCAGCAGAAAACACCGCGAACGCATGTGCATGGGAATACGAGAAAAATAATCTCATAACACGAAAGACAGATCATCTATCATGAAAGAGGCAGAATGCGCTTCTTTCTAAGAGTGCTTTCCTGTAAATGCGGAAGAAATTAATATAATTTGTTCCTAGATTTAGGGAAACGATTATTGGGAGTTCCCACTTCCGGGAACCGAATTCTTTAAAAATGCTCCGAAAAACTGACACCTTCGATTCGAACGAGGCTTCGTTCAGGTTACACCGGTACCATTTTATTGGATTCTATGGAACCGGGTTCTCGGCCTGTTGAGAAGGCCATGGGTAAGTGCATTGCGGGTGCAGCGCTGATGCAATGGACTTGAATACGAAGCAAGGGGCGATAGAAATATCGGCATCGATCCATTCATCCTGGGAGTTCATTCATGAACTCGGTGTTTTACGCACGGCTTTATTATGACTGGGCGATGATGGTCTGACGACCTCTCCCTCTTCCGTGTTTTCTTACAGCCTGCTTCTACCGATTTTGTTTCTTCTGAATTGGAAAGCAATTTTCCAATTTGAACAGACGAGTAATCAATGGCCTTCGCATCGATGCATCAGGAAAATGCTCGAGCCATTCCTCGGGTGAAATTATCTTCCAGCCCCACCACTTGAGAAAGCTCGGGAGATTCGATGCCCTGAGAGAACCAACCTTGAGGCAAGTATCGTGCTCGCGAAAGGATCTTTCAATTTCCATCGATTCAATAGTCCTTTAGAGTCCCTTGGACTCTCCAACCTTTGGTGCCCCCATGAGCCCTTTGAGTACCCCGACTCTCGATCGAAGGAGGAGATCCCCTTCCGGGAAAAGCTGATCGTCTGCGATGGAAGTGTGCCCAAGTACCCCCGAGGAAAATGCGAGAGACTCTTACCGGTAACGATGGTCTTGCCGAGGAAATCCCACTGGACGCGCGAAGGATGCGGGACGGAGACGGTCTTGCACTCCAGGGTCACCGTGTCGTCCCCGCGTCCGAACTGCGTCCTCTCGGACTTGATCTCGGGAGGTCCTCTGAGGAGGACCTTGACGGTCTCGGAGACCTCGTGGAAACCCGGCATGGAAGCGAAGCACGTGTAATCTCCCGTCTCTTCGAGCGTCAGCGACCGAATCGTGTAATTCCCGCCTTCGCTCACTCTCCTCCGTGCCATACCCTCCGGAAATGAAAAGGAAATGTTCTCGGTTCTTATCTCCTCTCCTTTCGATCTCGCTACTTCTATCGCGAATATGCATTAACGCAGAACTCCTTTGTGAATGCGGATTACTCCCCCGCCCTTTCCGAGTCGACCGTGCAAAAGAAACAAACGACAGAACGAAACCGTTTCGCGAGTCGGGAAAAAAAGGTATTATGAGACGCACGGAAGGGGGAAGAAAAGAATTAACATCGTTTGGTCGGGAAGGGGAACTTCCCGTTCCGCTCGTTAAAGCCAAGCAAAGGAACGAGTAGAAAGAGAAGAAGGGGGGAGGAAAGATCGAACACCTTTCCTTCCCCTCTTCTTTCCCCTTTCCCCTTTCACCTCCGGCGCGAATTACGGAATGAAGATAGCGGGTGGCCGATCGCTTCTCCAAGAAATCATCTCGTGCCAACGACCGTCCCATCGTTCATCGGTCGTTCAACACGTCTCAAATCGGTCTTTCCTTATCTTCCGCGGCGACGATTACGATGATCAATGAGAATGGATCTTCATTACACTTAATTTATTGCATTTAATTGTGTCGCGGAGTCGTCCGTTCGCTCGCGGATCGTTCCATCAAGTACTATCAGAAGCGCATGACTGATGCCATCGTTCCGTACGTCTTCTTCCAGGCCCAGTGTGACATGCATCAGATCGCCTCGATTTATACACTAATCTGATTTGAGAAGGGACTCCGATCGGAACCGGTTCACTCCTTGCTCAACCTCAGCTTGCTGTGTCGATACGAACAGGCAAGCATCACAACATTCCAAAAACCATCGCTACATCTCGTTCCCATACTGATCCGATTTCACGATGGACGTTCATTATGAATCTGATCGTAAGAAATCATCGTACATCGGAACGCGACTCGATGGGTGAATCAGATCATTATCATCTACCGAATCGGAAATCGACGATGTGAAATTGTATGCTTGTGGAGCCAAAATGGATCTGTCTTCAATTAAGAAGAGGAAGAATGAGAAAAAGAGGTTGGGATCCCTACGAGATGATTGTCGCGAGTCCAGTAGATGTCGGCGGGAGGGTTGGAGTCCACTTGACAAGAGAGCGTCAGGCTGGCACGGGGTTCCCCTGATACCAAGCGCTTCAGATCCCGGATGCGAGGTCCATCTGGCACACAGAAAACCTCGCGTTATCGTCTTTCCCTCAAGAAGGGAGAAAAAAGGGATCTTCGCGGACGCGAGGGGACCAGGTGAAACGGGAACACCTGTCTTCCAGATAAGTGCGCCCGTTTCCTTCCTCGTCGCCCCCGTCGGCCCCCGAATTCAACGATAAGAGAAGACGCGCGGTCGGTAAAAGCAGACGTAAGACTTACATCGAATGTTGATGGGGAGTGTGGCTTTTGATTTCCCTATCACGCTGGACACTTCGCAACTGATGCTGGAACCGTTCATGCTCCGATCCACTCGAGGAAAGTGGAGACTCGTCGTGTTGTACTGCGACTCCAAGTCGACGACCTGCAAACACAAACCCAGTCCAAGTGCCAAAGTCATTTCCGCGTCTCCGATGTGCAGATTGCAATGGAAAAGTACAAATTAAATCTGGTTAAGCAGCGTTCCAATAAATATTTGAGGATAGAGTTTCCTTGGTCCTCGGGGATAAAATCTGTAAGGAAAGTATCCATGCACCATCTCCACATTCTCTTTGATCGCCCACGCCCTTTACGAGCAAAAGACAGTTATCCTTTTCCTCATTTCCTTCACTTATGAACCCCATTTCTATTTGGTCTGTGATGATGCTCTTCAGGAGTTTCGGGCTCGAGGGATCTCAACCAGAGAAAGAAAGGATGGTTGCACGAAAACCTCCACATTTGAAATGTATCGTATCGATGAACTGTCTCTCGAAAATCATGGGAGATGTAGCAGGGAACACCGCGTCGACATGGAATCCGATTCCATTCCATCTCATCAACATATATGAATAAAATGCAGATTGAGTCGGCGATAATAACTCTAAGTCCCTCCTACCTTTCCGTCCATGGACCAGATGTACAAGAGATCAGGAGGATTCGCCTCTCCCTTGCAGAAGAAGGACAATGGATCTCCCTCGGATACGACCTGGCGACTAGCGGTCAACTTGGCATCCGGGGGATACTTCACCTGGAACAAGTCATTCCGAGTTAGTTCATCTCAATTCGACCGGTTCCACCACACATCCGGTAATTTTTTTCTCCGATCATGTAATAAGGCGTCTCAATGCACCAAAGAATCTGAATTTCATATTATACTTGTCACCAACGTAATTACTGTCCATTGCGGCTTCTCAATTCGAGATGACAGACCACCACGTCTGCGTTCATCAGTACACAATTGATGGATAGTTTTCTTCGGGAGTCATCAAAACTTAAATGAGTTCTCCAGGAATATTCAATTACCCCTTTCAAACTCGAGCTGGAAATTGTTCATCAACTTCCTTTCACGACGAAGTCATAATGAGAACGGTGAATTTGCAACAGACCTTAAGCCTGATGGAGGTCTTGAGAGGAGTGGGGGTGGTGGCGGAGTTCTGGGCGTAACATTCGAAGGTGGCATTGTGGTGCCTCCTGCCCACCGTGAAGTGAAGAGTGCTGCGGGTCGTCTTCAACTTGTTGTGATGCGACCCCATCTCCACCGACTCGCTCGCCAGTTCCTCGTTCAGGCTGTTCGCCCAATATACCTACGAGACCCGGCATCAACATCAAGTTCAATGATTTCTAAATGGTAAGAAGCTTTCCCACCGTTACGGTATCTTTTCACAGTAGTCTCAATAGTCGGTAGAAAGTCAGTTTCTCCCGTGATCTCTGTATGTCACTTGATCAATAACGATTCACTCCCCCAATATAATGCCCTCCAAAAAATAATTCATCATAATGGCGAGAAAAGAAAACATCTTCCCTCTTCCAAGTTAATATTCAAATTGTTTTAAAGCCCTCTATCGTTTTCAGCATGTAAAAGACGCGGGGAGCTTCGTATTCTTGTCTCGAATTGCTGGGAGCATTAAGGAATCCATATTCATGTTCTGCTGCTGTCCAGTAGCACAGGCGAGACCAAACGCCACCTTCAGGTTAGAGTTTAGAATGTAGTTGCGTAGAAGCCGGTGTTTACGTCTCCTGTGGATAGAATCTCTCAAGAAGCCAGGCCTAACCTTTCAAAGATACGTTTCAATCAAACGTCTGAGGATGACAGCGATAACATGGAGGAAGCTGCACGAGGAGAATCAGACATATCTCTTTCATACGTCGTACGGTCGAGGAGGGGAATGAGAAATGGCCACATAATAGAGGATCAAATTCCTCGGATTCCTTTCCTTCGTCGAAGGCACAAAAGGACGGAGATCAGAGAGAGACTTATGAGACGTTCGTGAAATAAGGACTTCCCTCGTGACAAAAGCCGGTCGGACTGATGGAAGTGGAGATTAAAAAAAAAAGAGAATTCCAAGTCATAAGTGCACGCTGCATGCCCTGCTCTTCTGTCTACAAAGATGGCGTGAACTCATTTCGGTGGGTGAAAGTGGATTGGCTCCGTGTCTCGTCTCTCTTTCTCCTCTGAATCTTTGAGGAGGGATCCAACTCCGAAAGAGAGAAAGATGTAGAAACACATCAGGTTCCACCCCATTTCCAGACGTATAATGCTAGCTCTCTTCGCGATCCACACACGCGTCTTTTAACTTTTCTTTCACATCATGAAGAAGAAACTCATGTCTGAGAACGTCAAGTGCCAAAACACGTGAAACAGGGTGCTTCCAAAATGTTGTCATGGCATTATATGCACGCATATAATAGAACATCTCATGCAGACAGACGTTCGTGTGGGTAGAGGAAAAGATCCGAGAGCATCATTTCCACGAACACGCATACAGTATATATCCTGTATGTACTGCATGTACTGTGTCTTTACACGAAAGTTAAGAGTGACAGAAACCCCTGCAAGTAGAAAATTTTCCCAGAATTCCTGACGGCAGCAAGAACGATTCCAATTCCTCCATTTCTCTTCCAGTCGACATCACGGCTCGATATCTGTATCTACAGTATATCTGTATCTCAGACCTATATAGTCCGGAGTCGGGATGACAAGAAGAGAAACGACAGGAACGCCGGCTGCACACTTCCATGAGGAATAGCCAGAGATTATTGCCAAGACCCTTCGTTTCCATTCCCACTTATTGCTTGCAGCTGAGAGAATTGAGACATCTCCTTCGTCCTTTCTAGTGGACCTTCTTCCGTAGAGGATAGGGTCGCTCATGATCCCGTTACGCCTGTCTGCCCATTCGGATACAACGAATCTACAAGATTCGGAATTTTTCCATAGAATTATTTCAGCAATATATATTTAGACTGAGGGTGTAAACTAAAGTGGAGGGAATTCAATTGTTCTCAACCCTCCGTCTAAGGCGGTGCAACTGATGCTAATGGCTTCCAATGGTAGGCTCACGGTATCAACTTTAATTTAGAAGAAAGTTTGGTTCTGTTCAGACCTAAACTAAAATTACACATTGAACTTTTTTCTTTAAATATATTTCTTATAATATTAACATATTATAAGAAATAAAAAACAGTTGAATGTGTCATTTTCAGTCCTAAACCCACTTTCAGCGTCATAAGTGTTGGGAAGTTTAAGTAAATTGAAACAAAGAACCAATCAAATCTTAGCAATTTCACTTCCAGTAATAAGTAACGAGAATGAAGAATCGGGAAGTCAAGCTTCTTAGAGGAAGATCCCTTGAGGAAGAGCGAGGGGGTACAAGAATGAAGAGATAGATCCCTTAAGGGTGGTCCCAAGAGGTCGGTCCCGAGAGGCAGCAGGCCTCCAAGCAGCAGCTTTTCGCAGTCTTCCCACCTATTTTCCCGCTCCATTAAATCCTTATCCATGTTATGCAGATGTACCGGTATATGCACAAAAATAAACATCAAACTCAAGTTTTTGAAGATGGTTTAGTTTCATTGACACTATTTAGTATACTTCGAAGTTTCAATTTTCGTTTCAGTTCTGGGTGTACCTGTCAATTTCAGTTTAAGTTTAAGTTTTCTGGCATCAAAAGGTGCGGTTTCGGTGAACTGTTACCCAAGCCAATTTCTCAATAGTTTCGGTTTCAGTAGTACTACAATCACACTACACTGCCATCATCGCTTCTTAGTACATTCTGGTACTCAACTGCAGGAAGGCGCCCTGCTGGATCCAGCAGGAACTCATTCTCGAGTGAGACGTACCTGCGGTGGCGGTTTTCCATCCTGAGCCTCGCATATGAGGGTGACGTTGGTGCCTGCCGTGGTGTCCAGTTCTCGACCCTGGACGATCCTCGGTTCCTTTGGACTGACTCGCACGGTGACGGTCGCCTCGCGCGACATCAGTTCCGGATCTCCTCCCGGTCCTGGTCCCCGACCGACTTGACATTGAAAGACGGCATCGTCTTCCAGAGTCACGTTCTCGATCTTTAGGTCAAACACTCCTGCAGGAAAAGGAAGGCGAATCAGTCACCCGAGAGATGACAGACGGGTTAGCTCCCCTTTGCTCTTAGAACGGGTCACGCAAAGACCAAAAAATCTCATATTGCTCTGCTCATCACGCAACGATGGCTGGTTGGGGGAGGAGAAATGAAAGATTCCCGGCATCTCATCTGCTCGAGAAGGAACCGGATGTAACCAGATATGGAGATTCGGACTGTCATCTCCCGCTGACAGGTCAATTCTTGCCGATGACGGCTTCATCCCTCGAGGCACTGCATAAGCCTTAACTCAATTAAGGACGGAAAGAATCTTTCGAGTCGTTCGCTTTCGAAGGACCCGAGCTTCATCATTCATGTTCTCGGTTTGGCAATCAATCTTTCCCGTCTGACTCGAGAAGAAAAATAGGAAAGAGCTCCTCGATGGGCCCCACTTCATCAATTCCCTTTCCTTTCCTCTCTACTCGCACCTCCCCCACGAGTATGCGATGAAAAATCAAAATCCCCCCGCTTCCTCGTTCGATATCGAAATTCCTAGTCCACGTGCGATTTGGCATACGAAGATCTGAACGATAGGCATAGACATAGTTCGCATGCCAGGGACGGCGACGAAATGTCTTTGGAAACAAGGATGGAGCGTTATCGCCACGTGGAGAAGCTTGGAATTCCAGGCATTCTGGCGTCTGCCGTCAGCGTGTCGACTCTCCTTGCCTCCGGTCCCCGATCGCATAATTACATTCTCGTATCGCGAGAGACGCGAAGGGATGATTCGATTGCAAGGACGACGAAAGGAAGGACCTCATGCGTGGCTCAAATACCGAATCTCTGTAAATGAATGTCATAGCAGCCTGCAGCATTAATCAGATTGAAGGAAGTAGAAAGACTGGAATATCGCGGATGGCCATTTTGAAACCGCGCCCCTCCGGCACGCAATCCCGGTCGATAAAACTTCTTTCCTCATGAGGATGATGCCAGGCCCTCTGTTTACCTTCGTCCTGCGGACGAGGTAGCCCTCCACGGAGGAAATGACAGGTTGGGCTAAGCCCAGTTCCGTAGCGAGTTTCCAATCCTTGCACTGGCATAGATTGTGCATGCAAAAAATTGAGGAAAGCTCCGAGAGCAGCGGAAAGAAAAACACCAGAGGATCGATTCCTTGTAAACGGTCTGCGTGGAGATGGTCCGTACGAGGTATCTTGCCGTTCCAACGAAGAGACTGCTGCTCTCTGCAGCTCAACCTCTTTCCCTATTTCAAATTCATTTCACGATGAATCTCTAATTGAACGTTTTACTCCTAAACCAAATTGCCTCCGAGTTGATAGCATTTGCGAGTACTAAAATAAAACCTTAGTTACGTTTCGGGTGGTAGTCTTCCCACAAACGTTGAAGAAAGCTTCGCGATGACACGTTGACATGAAATGCTATGACTCGGAGCTTCATTTATTTTTCGAAGAATGGCTGCTCACTAGCAATATAAGACTTACTGTTGGCTGCAGTCAACTGTAGAGATGCCAGTCTGATCGTGCCCTCGTCACACTCTTTCAGTTCATACGTTGACTGTAATCAAAATCACATTGCTAGTGACCTATGTGACGGATCGAAATGCCGCTAATGCCAGTAGTTAGTAGATGTCAGGAGTGCGTGATCCGAATGGCACCTTCAATGCTGACAATAGTCAACTGTTAATCTGGAAGAGCTACTTAATTAAAACATCATAGAGGTTCTGGATATGTTTCGGTTTCTCTTCACCGTTTATTAAGAGAATGTTAATAGCTGATCGTCGGCATGTGAGCTAGTCTCCATGAACATTTGGGGATATCGCCGAGTAAGGCTAACTCATTGACTGTTTACGGGCGAAAGGATTCGGGGGCAGCGAAGGACGGGGATAGTAGGTGCTCCAGCCGTTTCTACCACGTACCATCACGCGTAGGCCGAGAATGCATTGCGTGGACGGCGGTTTTTAGTGCCCAGTCTCCATTTAAAAAAGAAGGGACGATTATAGTGCCGTCTTACTTATCTTTGAGTGTCTCTCTACGGCCGCTTTCCTACTTCAGTTGTCCGACGGTATCTCAGAAAATATTGATGGTCGTGAAATTTGGAATGCCAGTACGAATGGGCTAGATTCCAACTGTGTTCACATTTCGCAAAGTATGCGTCCCAGATTTTTCATAGTGACATTTAGATTTGCACATGTACAGGATTATGGCATCGTACGGAAAAGAATGACTGTTAGGTTAGATGAAGAACGACCATCTCCCGCTTCCTTCCCTGCCCTCGTACTGTCCTCCACCTCCCATCATCTCCCGCATCCTCCTCTGGCCCCATAATACCCTTCACTTCGACAGCACTTTCAAGTTTTGCTCGATTCAAGCGTAAAAAAAAAAACATTGAAAAATAAATTGCAGTAGACGAGACTCAGAATGCGATTGTATGTTGGGCAATGAGTGATAAAATGAAGCTCCCTCTCAAGTGAAAGGACGTCCACGAACTGGACCAGACTTGCCCAACTCGACATTTTTCCTTTGGTACGGAAAACTAGAGCGTTTACTTCGGGCAAGATCGCAAGGGAAGGATTGAGTGGTGCGAACTCACCGTCGGCTTCGTTGCCGACCATGGAATAGCGTCGGAAAGAAGGCAAATCCCTGGGGAATCCGAGTCCGAATCCGTCTCTCGTCCATTGAACGGCTCCCTTCCGGTCCCTCACTTGACAAGGTAACGTGATGGTCTCCCCTAAGGTCGGCTCGTTGTCTTGTGGTTCTCTTTCCAACTCCTGGAGTCCTTCCACCTCCACCAGGCACAGGCAGAGGCATAGGCATAGCCCGAGGAAGGTCGGAATCCACCGCCTCCCTCGCATTCCTTCGATCTCTCACCCGAGCTGAAACAAACGATATTCGCCTGTTTGCATCGATCTGGGAGAAAGCCGATGTAGTACTAAATCGATGAAAAAATGCACTCGTTGCTCGAAGGATCGAGGCATTCGGTCCCACGAGAATCCATAAGTCGGCCATCGCGATACGTTGGGAATGCATGCGATCGGGAGGCTTACATAAAAACAAAGACTGGCGTCGATATTTAGCGGGGCAGGCATGAAAGGCAAAATCTCGAGATTGCATCGGCACCCACGTCGATATCGAGCCGCGAGCTAATATTCGCCCGAAAAGCACGGCGGCCGAACGAGTCTTGGATGAGTGATATTCCCGTGATGTTTGCCGGACGATCGAGTTACTCGGGAACTGTCAGACACGGGAGAAGCTTGACCCGCGAGACGGGATGAAGGAAAAAAAGAAGAGAGAGAGGATAATAAGGTTCTTTTGGTCCACAACAGCTGGGATTTCCCCCATTGGAGACTCCGTGCCTCGAATGCAAAAACAAAGGCCAAGGAGAGGACAAAATGATTTCGGTCGTGGGGTATTCGACACCCCTGCATTCCACTGGGGATTCTCTCTCTCTCTCTCTTCGTTTCCTCCTCTCATCTATCTGCCATCTCCGTCTTTTCCGGCAGTGACGTCACCGACTGGCTTCTCGCCGACCCGTGGGTGGCAGCGCGACACGTGAGAGACAAAAAGCATGCATTCCTCTGTCCCCGAAATGCTAGTATTTTTCTATTCAGCATGTAAGTACCCTCGACAAAAAAAGCCTTCGTAAGAGAGACCGAGGCGCTTCTTCACATCGACGAGTAAACAAATCGCGTTCCAAGAAGGTACGGTTGCAAAAAGTTCTCTCTTTGTCTTCATCCATTGTTTTTCCTTTCGGACTGTATTTTCGTTGGAAGGAACCTAACTGGTGCACGAAACGTAAACCGTACTCGTTTCCGAGGGATAGGAAAGAACCCTGCGCTTAATCCTCGGCTCACTTTTTTAAAACTCATCTACAAAATCGAATAACTTGACTAGCGACTAATTCTGCTGACCCGAGCAACGAGCGGCCGTCGTTACATCGGCGGTTTGCGATTGAAACGCAATCAGCTTCATTACTGAGATAGAGGCGATGGGACGGCACCGGCCGGTTGTGCTCGCGAGGGGAAGACGCATCGATCGGCATTCCGTATCGGAGGAAATACCTCACAGGAAGCCTACAGCCGATCTCATTCCTCAGGGGGATTGTATATAAGGTAGACATACATTTTCATTGCGCATCAGGGTCTCCCGATTACCCGTGTCCCGAACTGCTTTCATTAATTTCCCATGGACATGCAACGAAACGAGCCGCATCTTCCTCCACCCCCTCCTTCGGAAACTGCATCTGCACGAAAGGCGATTACTTAATCTGAAGAGAAGGATCGATGGGAGTTTTATCGTCTCTCTCCAGATATGGCACTTCCGACCATCAACTTCTCATGTCATATTCACGAGGGAACGGAGGGAAGGAAGGAGAAAAAAAAGGTTCGTCCCCTCTTATCGGGAAGCGAGTTGGCATCATCTCGCACACAACCGCCCTCGTTATGCTCCTTTAAGGCATGAGACCCTCTCCAAGCTTGTGTAGGCTCCGATATCCATCAAAGACACTTTGGCCGACTTCAAAGCATGTTGCGCATATTCCCATATTGTTAATTCAGGAACCCGTCATTTCCTTCTATTCTCTTCCCTCCTCGTCTCGCCTCGTCTTTGTGTGGCAAAAGCCATAGCGCCCAAGAAGGGAAGCGAGCAGCTGGCCCTAAATGACTGCACTGCGATGATGATGATGAAGATGACGAAGATAAGACAGCGAGGAAAATGAAGAGTGAAGCCTCACCAAAGGAAGACAAAAATATCGTCGAGGTGAAGAAAGACGTGGCGGAGGGAAAGTGAGGTGGACAATATTCCTCCATGTCTTGGCACGAAGGAGGAACCTCGTCTGAAACACGGAGTTTACGTCTCCTTTCAATCCTCCCTCGATCATTTATCCTTTCTTCCTATTTTCGTAGGGATCAGACATGGATTCCTTCGCATCGAGCTAATTTTTGGAAAGTGTTGCCCGTTCATTCTGACGGCTCTTCCTCTCCATTACCATCTCCCTTGTCAATGGAGAAAATATTAATCTACTGGGATCCATTTTCCACTTCCAGGCTTCAGGGTAACGAGATGGGATTTCACGCTTCACTGGAATGCACACAGGGGATTCCCCTTTTCCCTCTCCTCTAAGAAGATCCAGACTGCTATACGATGTAAGGCGATCAGCCGAAGATCCCGACATACCTGGCGAGAAGCAGTTTAGATGCTTGGATGTTTGTTGGAAGCGACCTTGCGTCTCGGGAGAGGACACAATCCAGGAAAAGTCTATGTAACCAGGACTTGGCAAGGACTGAATCTTACACCAACAAGTCCCGTCTAAAAATATACACCCAGAGTCTGCGGTGTCTTGCAAGTAGAGACTCGAAGGGCCTCGTCAGTCTAGGCTTTTGTCTCCCCTCGTCTCCCCTCGTCTTCCCCCTTTTTCACATGTGCCCGTCTGGACATCACGTGGGAAGGAGGAGGGAATTCCCTCCCTTCCTTCCAGAAGACGCGAGAGGGGGAAGAACTTCTTCACTCTGCTATAGATGGGCTTCTTTTGTTGGGGAGAATGAAGGGGAATTTGTCTTCCCCTGCATTCCGGAATGGAAAGTGCATGGGAGGCATATTTTTCACGCTCGCTTGGATGAAGCTACTGTAAAAGCCTCCTGACAAGGCTAACCTATTACCGAATCGTGCCATTTCTTCAGTTCTCCAATGGAGAGGGTGGGGCGAGCAATGGGGTAGGAAGGAAGTTTATACACGTGTGAGATTTCTCAGGGAATTCCCATCGTTCGTGTGTACGAAGGAAAGGACAAGAGATCCATACATATATATCCAGTTGGGCCCTGATTCCCTATTCATAGCATCTGTGCAAAGAATCACGGCTTCGGGGGATCATAAATCCATTCTTCATCCTGTCTCTAGCCCAAGGATACGGATACATCACGAAAATCCCTCCCAACAGGCAACTTTTTTTCTTGCCCCTCAGCCTCTCGAGATGGAACTTTTCTGACTCTGGCACGCTCCTCTTCGACCGGAAACCGAAGACTGGAAGCCAACAGAAGCAGATCATGAGTTCCATTACGAGGATATGTCAGGCAGGCTATCTGAATTCCAAATGCAGGAAGCCCGAGGAGAGAGGTTGTAGGGAGCACCTGCTGCCCCCCTCCCCCCTCTCTCAAATCCCACAAATCCCTTTACGGTCTACGGGAGCTGGGTCTTTCTTCCATCTGGGAGAACATGGGGCCTTTCCCTTCTACCATTCATCCGGAAGAAGGAAAAGGGAAGAAAACAAGAAAAATTTTTTCAAGATTCATGCTCCGGAAACTTCGCTTTCGCATACTCCACGATGTGTTACAAGACTTCTCTAGAGATCTTCCCCTCTCTCCCTCACGTAATTACGAATCCATCCACCCGTTCCTTTTCTTATTTCTTTCCTCTTCATATATAGATATATGTCGTCGTCCCCCCCCCCCTCCCTCCCCTCTCCTCGAAAGAGTTCGATCCCCATCGGAGAGGGAAGAGAAGAGGACGTGACATCGAAAGGAAAGCGAGAGAAGAGGGACTGTTTCTAATGAGGGAACGGCTGTCGAAACTGTGGATCCGAAGCCCATTGTCTCAAGCTGTCACCTCTTTATTATTCTGGGACTGGTGCTGGGGAATATTCAGGAGAACCGGACGAAGGAATCCAAGTAAGTCGGGAAGAAGGAATCGATCGGATTCCCGGGTTTCAATTCCCTGGCCTAGCTGGATTACACGACTAATCTCGCTTCAATGAACTCATTCCCTTTCTTCTCCAATCTCTCCTTTTTTTGTTCCTTCCTTTCCTCTGGGGCTTGGCTACCTTTCCTGGTTTCGCGTCTCTTTCTTGCCTGCCCTGCAACTGCGACAAATGTTAATAGAGATAACGAGGGAAAGCAGGAAGAAACTCGAAGGGGAAGTGCGTGAATAATGCAGAGCGAGCGACATGCCCTTCACAATCCGATTGGAACATAAAGAAGACGGCCGATGCAATATACACATAAGGTAGATAAAGGGATCGATGAAGGAATATGGAACATCGCACCACACTCCTGCCGCCCTCATAATTACCCGTCAATAAAGCGTGTGTGTCTAGGGGATGAATAAGTGAATGAATGACAGGTTGGAAGATATTTCGCGCAAGTTCATGAAAGAAAATGAATTCTCCGATCACAGGAGTGGAACGGCACCAAGTGTTAGGTAAGAAAAAGCTATCCGTTCCCCTTTCCCCGCATAACCCACTGGCATGGCGGGCTCACCGAACTCGCAGGAAGAAGACCCAGTATTTTTCTTCCTCTTTCCCTTTAGTGAGCGACATGCTACGTGCAGAGCTTTAGAGTGGATTTTTGAATAGAGAACTATCCGATAATGCAGCCTTATTGCTGGGAAAATACATGATATTTCCTGGAAATAAAGCAGCATTATCGGATAGTTCTCTATTCAAAAATCCACCATTCGATTCGAGTCACGATAAAATGCTGGATTAAACCACATCTAGGTATGAAAGTTTCCCTCCTGAAGCTATGTTGAAGGGAACGATTGCTAGAAACGAAAGAGTAGTTCAGGACGATGCTTGTTATTTCTAAATAAGTATTGTTCCCTTACGGACGGTGTCCTCAGTTTCCTACTCCTTGTAGATTCCGTGACATGGCATGGAAAACACAACCGTGAATCTATGTCTACGGTCGAAAGGCTACCTGAAGGAGAAATTCATCCTAGATCTATCTTTCTGATCTCAAGGTCGGTGGGAAAAAAAAACCAGTTTACATCAGGTATATAGTTGGATAATGAGGCAAAAAAAAAACAAAAGGCAACACGAAGGTCTAGTTAGTGATGAGTGCATGTCACCACCCCCGCAATCATGTTCCACTCTTTCTGGCTTCAA